CCGGTGGGAAGGCTTCGACCGCCCGCCCCGCATCGAGCAGTGCGGGGTGCCGGTGAACTTCGTGTCGCGAAGATAAATTCACCCCGTTCAAAATGAAATCAAAGGACTCTAAGGGCTTGTTCGTTCTTACGGTCGAGAACCGCTGAAACGTCTTTATCGTGAGATAGTTTGTGACCTTTGTAGCATAGTATCCCTCCGTGCTTTGGACACGATTTGCAGTTTTGCTGGTCAAGTACCATAAGGTCACTGGGACTTTGGAGGAGCCTCGCTTCAAAAGCGAGATAAAAACCCCACCGTATTTACCAGTACTTCTCTTAACTCATGTACTGGAAGACTGAGGACAGTGTAACTGTTAAGAGAGCCTTATACGCTGTTTTATACAATGCATTGACAAAGTTCAGTCTGCATCTTAGTCCTGTAGGAGAACCTTACAGTGAAAAGTTGAGAGTAACTTCTTTAGAACTCCAAAAAGGGTGAAAGTTTTAGATAACCCGTCTCTAGTTGTGATTTGAGAGCCAAAGGCTGAAATACAAACGGAGAAAATTACAGCAAGGCAGAAAAATTTAAGCATGGTATGCGTTTGTAAGGCAGAAAGTTTTAACCCTCATTCTTCCCGGCACAGTCACCCTGGCTGGGACGGGGCTTGCGTGTGTCACATGCTTGCAGCACGTGTGTGCAGTTCGGGTTCCTGTAGACTGTGTGAAGAACTGGTGAGGAAAAGTTACCAGCATCAAAGCATGTGTTAAAATCCGGTATTTTATTTTTCAATAAATACAGGGTTTTTCTTACTTTCTCTTGGCTTTTGTTTTGTTTTAGCTATGGAGTTGCTGTCTATTTCTTGTTGCCTTGTTTACATTTTTTTTAAATATTCTTCCTCTTTTGTATTAGTGTAAATGCATTTTGTCTGGGGAAGCCACTGATATAGAGGGAATATAAAAATGTTACATATGGGGCTTTGGGGGATTTTAGGTCTCAGGTGTTGTGCAGTCTCTTGTCTTTTACTCCTGCCTGTGTACTTTGTAGTCTATGCTAAGTGGATGACACAGTCAAATTACTATTTCAGGAATGTTTATAGAGCCTAATTTACATGCAGAACCACTCCATTAAATATAATCTTTGACTTTTAAGAAGTTGCTGCCTTAGATTTTCTTACAGAGTGTCTGCTACTGTAAGAATGCCAATAGGGCATTAATTAGCTGTCAGTTATATTGCCTGTCAGAACTGAGTAAGGCTGAGTTTTGAATAGTCTCTGGAAGCATGATGTGGGCAAATTGCAGCTCCAGGACTTCTGGAGTTCTCCTTTCTCTTTCCAAATACATCTCTGTGACTTGTAGTGGGGAGTTGGAATAAAATCTTAAGCCGTAGTACTGATGTCAGGTGTGGAATTGCAGAAGCATCAACATTACCAAAAGATTCTTCTTTGTTTGAGCCTGTAGCATCACTTCAGGTATGGGGCATAGGTCACAGTAACACAGCTGGGCTGTGTGGGTTCTGCACTGGGGACAGCCCAGGTAGCCCAAGAGCTCAGCATCCTGGAAGGTCTCCCCTCAAAGCCAAATTTGCCATGGGAAACCCTTTCTTCAGCATGCTTTAGAGGGCTGTGAGCTGGATGGGAGAAGGACATAGAAGGGAAGCTATAAAAGGATCAAATATCTCTAAATGTCTCTAGAAGTGGAAAGACATTTCGCAGATACTCTTTACTATTTTCCACACAAAAAACTCCACAAACTCAAAACCAAAAAAACCCAAGCAACAACTTTCTCCTCCTAAACAAGGAGAATAACTGGTTGTTTTTGTTGTTTTTTTTTTTTTTTTTGGTTTGTCATGCTGCATATCTGCACTCTTCATAATATCAAGGCCACTTGCATTTTTTTTGCCCAAATCCCAATTTTGTCCTTCAGCACACAGCAAAAGGAAGTTCCTTTCAAGCAGGCCTGGTGGTGGAGAACACACTCACTGGTGGCTTTCCTCCTCCTACATCACTGCTTTGATCATGTACATCCAGCAGACTTGACTGTACCTTTCTGGGAGTTCTATTTGTGTCCTGAAAGGAAACTGCACAATGTGGGGTTCCACAGCTTCTGTCACCTGTGAAACACTCGGTGACTTCCACTGCAGGTTGACTTCTCATGACATGGCATGTGCAGAAGAGTTTTTGAGTCCTTCCTAGGAAACATGGCTGTGTCCTTCCTGCAGGTTGTGTTTGCTTCATAAGCGTCTGCTTCAGATGAGTTTGTGCTGGTTTTGTACTCTTGAACTTTGTGTGTAGTTGAATGAAGCTTTTGTTTTGTTCTCAAAGGAATACTTATTTTTTTGCAGCAGCTTCAAAAGAATCTGTCTGACCTGGGACAAACTTAAAAATCTCAAAAGTGGAAAAAATCCTAGCAGAACAGATTGCATAAAGCAGGTGTGTGTAAGTTAGTTAGGAATCAGACCTATTTGTCATTGTATTGCACTTTAAAAGAACTTGATATGACAAAGGAGGACCTTTGTTAAAACTGTGGAACAGGACCTTGGAACAACCAGTAGGAATAACACAGAGTGGAAGAAGGAGAGAGTAGAAAAGATCCTTGAAGTGTTTCCAGAAGCACTGTCTTCAGCTGGGTATAGATTTGCACATTCAATAATGAAGTGGCCTTTTCCCTTGCTGACTGCTGGCAGAAATGGAGGACAGCAAAAGGCTCCCAAACCATCTTTGCTACTCCTATACTCACTGAGAAAAATCTGCTGGAAGGCATTTCCTGGTTTTTTCTTTCCTTTTTACCTTCTGGTTTTTAGAGGAGTGGCTTTTGTCCAAAAAAGAAAATCGTCTTATTTTATAAATACTAGAAAGCAAAATGAATTGCTGTTACTTTGATTTCATTGGCTGCTTTTCCTCTTGTGCTTGTATTTAAATACTTAATAGTTTTTTCTCTACTTAGGAAACCTCAAAGTGCAAATGAACAAATGTGGAAATTACCTTTGTTGAAAAGGTGTTCTGTAAAATAATTGAATGGCTTTTCAGCTTTTCCTGGTATGGTTTTTCTGAAGCTACTGTGTTGAGGTGAATAACTTTGTATGTCTGCAACATGTCCTTTGTTGTGTAAATTTGGATTCTCATCAAGTTTGTGCTTAAGTGAAGTGCTTTGTGTGTTTTGATAGCAGTTTTTAATTCTTTGGGGCAGTGGAATGAAGTTAGATGTAAAATATGAGATGGGTATCTCCATTTCTTGTGAAGAGTATTTAGGCCATCAACTTGTCATGTTAGGATTGTGACAGAATAGTTGATTCTAATTCTTTACCTAATTTAGGTGTACATGTTCAGGTTGGTTTTGGTGTTTTTTTGTGTGTTTGGGTTTTTTTGTTGTTGATGTTTATTCTTTATTTTATTTGGTGGTTTTATTGCTGATTGGGTTTTTTATAAGTTTGTTTGGAAGCACAAGGCTTGTGAGGAGTAAGCTCTAGGCTAATATGTAAACTTGAAGTGTCAGACTTTGAGTACACCTAACATCTTTGGTATGTACACAATGGATTAGGAGTTGGCAGACGCTTTGATGAACCGAAGTGCAGTTCTTTAGCATTAGTGAGACTTTACAAATAAGCTGTGTAAGTAACATAATCTTGTTTTGATGTGCCAGATCTTACTTGCCTAATTTCCCACATGGTGGAATGAATCTAGTCTTCACCAGCATGGATATGTAAACCTTTTCAAGATGGTTAAGAACTGTGGCGAAGGACCAAGTGGAATGGCAAGTGAGGAAACTTACATTTATTTCTAGCTTATTCTTCTGCTATGTTATTTCATTACCTGATGTAAGTCAGCTTTTTAAAATAAGAATTCATCTAAAAACTGAAATCAGGTAGATGTTCTTATCCTTAAAAAAACTTATAGTTGAACTCAGCTTGAAGTGTTGGGTATTTATTTTAAGATATTAGCTGTGCTTAATCTACTCAAACCTATTAAGTGTATTGCTCAGTGTTAAAACTGCCTAAAGTGAGCAAAATACAAATTTTAATTTGTATTCTGATTATTCCTTTGTCAGGAAGAAGCAGCCACTTCTGCTGACATCTGATTTGTATATTAGAAAGTATGGTTTCCTGACAGAAGAGTGCATTATAGTTTTTAACAGCAGATCTTTATTAAATGTGCAATCAATGGTGGTTTTGGAAAGATGAGAAAGGATCCACCGTGGGGCAACTCAGTGAAGCTAAAGATGTAAGTCCTGTGCTATTGCTATTTTTTATGTATTGCAAATAGGAATTTTTTTTTCCAGTCCCAGCTCGTCAGTTTATATGTGCATGTGTTTATTTGTTTTTTTTTAAAAAAGCCAGAAGGTTTGCGTGGACATTACATGATAAATATTTTATATAGTTTGAAATTAAGAAACTGTTCAAAAACCCCAAAAGTAAACCAGATTGAAAAGCTGTCACCAGCACTACCCAACCAAAACCAAATCAACCTCTTTTATATGTATGAAGTTAACTACCTTAAAGTATTCAGAGAAATTTAAAAATATATACAGATTGGACAGCTTTGTTCATATTGTTTGACTCTTGTGTTGTGTCAAAGCTAGACAGCTTCTTCCTTAAAAAATGAAGAGAAGTAATACTGATAAATTATTTGTCATTTGAACTTGGTCACAGTTAAACCAGAAGTGTGTCATGCTGCTTAATGCTTTTAGTAAACATTCAGTAGTGGTTAGAAAACTTCTCTGATCTGTTTGCTTAAAAAATAAGGCCTTGTAATGAGCTCGAAAAACTTTACTGCTGATGGTTTCCTAATGCAATCTTTTTGACTCAAAAAGTAAAAGTATTTTTCTTCCTCTATTCCATGTGTTCTGCCTGCTCTTGAATGCTACCTGTTTGCTTCTCTTCCTATACTTGAGATGTTGCGTGTAATAGGAATTGCAGTCAGAGTATGTTTTTCAGCAGCCTGTCCGTACAGGATTGATCATTATAAAAGAGCTGGATTTAAACACTGGCAACACTTGAAGTGTTCTGCTTAAAGTCTGTTGCTGCGCAGTAATGTCAAGGTGCATGAATAACTTTCTCCCTTGCAGGATCTTTCCTTTGTCAGTGAACCTCTTTCACTGAGGAACAATCGCATTTTTTATCACAGGCACCATTGTTTAAGTTAGGACAACTTTTTCTGCCAGCTAGAAGATGAATCAATTAGATACAGAAGTTTGAAAAACAAGATCTGCTGTAACTTTTTTTGTGATTGTTGAATACTTCTTCATGACAGTGAAGAATGGTGTAAGGATGGCTAATCAGAGAGGTGAACCAAAAAAAGCGTGATGAAAAAACCAGCTGCAGTTGTCCCAGCTCAGTCTGGCCAATTAGTATTTTCTGTGGTTTCTCCTTTATTTTTGGAAGTCTGCTTCTTCCTTTTCCTGTGTATTGTTTTCCTTGTCCTGCATTTCAGACTTCCTTGACCTTGTTATTGTTTCAGACATCCGTCTGGTTTGTCTGTCTAAAGTCCATATAGACATAATAGAAACTCCTGGGATATCAGAGTTGTCTGTTTTGCTTTCATAACTTTCTATGACTTGAGAACATAACAGTCAACATTCTGCTAAATGTTCAATCCCTTGGCTGTTGGAAGAGATTGATGCAGGATAATGGATCAGTGCTGTTTGAATCTGGCACTAATTTGGCATTGTCATTTGTGTGCCAGTGATGCAGGGAGGGAAGGACTAAGTGAAAATGGAAGTTCTGCCATTGATTTATCCGCACATGTTAAATTAATTGGTCATCATTGGCAAAATACCTGTTTTAGATAAAAACAGGTATTTTATGGCCTACTCAGTAATTGTTATTGGTAAATAGCGAGTCTTTGCTGTAATTTCAAATTTCTGAGCCTTACTAAGGTTTGCTTCTGAATAATTATTTGTAAAAAAATATAAATTAGTTTATTATGATCTTCACAAGAACTCAACAGAGCTTTGATACTGATATAAATAAAAAAGGGAGACCATGCTGTACTTCGTGCTTGTATTTCTATTAATAAATGCTTTCCTTTTCTATACAAGATTAATGCAGAAATTGCAGTTATTACAGATGCTATAATGTAACTAGATGTGTTCAAAGGCTTCATGGCAGAAGTGTGGGGGTGGACAGAAGCCTCTTCTTGCTTTATGGTTTATAGAGTTGTAAAGTGTTTTTAAGAATTAAAAAAAAAGTCCATCCAGGCTGAGGCACTTCTGGATATGACTTGGTTCAACCCAGTAATCACATTAAGCAGGAGTGCCTGAAGCATATTACCCAAGCCCTGAAACAGCCTGGTTCAAGCAGGGCTGTTTGGTCAGGTTTTGAGAATATGTGAGGTTGCAGACTCCACAACCTCTCTGCCAGTGTTTGAACACTGAAGAATTCCTGTTTTTTCTTAAAATGTCATGGGTGGGGGCAAGTCAAGAAGGACTTGAAAGATTTGGTAACATGTTACATCTTCCAGTACTTTCATAAGAGGAGTAGTTTCTGAATGTTAACTGAATGTAGATGTTCCATAATGTTAACTGCTCCTCAGTAGCAGAGGAATATTTGTGAACTGGCCACCTGGCATTGCAAACTTTACTTTTCTGGATTTCTATTTAAGCTACATTCTATTTGTTCTTTCCTCCAGATGCAGATTGTGTGTCTAGTTACCTGGAAAATAAGGCTGCTCTAGCTGTCAGCCATTTGAAAAGAAAAAAGGCAGACATCTAGAAAATGCTTTCCTGTATGCTTATGTATATTTTTAATCTTTTAGCTACTTAAATAGAAGACATGGAAATGTGATTATGTATTTTATTAAAGTTTTCCTGTTTTTTTTTAATTCCAGGTCTGTAACTTCTGTTCAGTCTATCCCAGTTAGGAGAGCTTTTTTTGTGATTTTTAAGCTTGGTGCTGTCAGCCCTGCGTGAACAAACCAGAACAAAAAGCACGCTGCGTCTTAGAAAACAAAATGCCACGGAAGAGGAAAACTGGTGGGAGTCCTTCTCAGAGGAATGGCAATTCTGACAGAGCTGCTGTTGCTGTATCCCAGGGGGACCCAAGCCACTTAGTGGCACAAGCAATGCGTTACGTCAATAAGGAAGAGCTCCTCAACAGCATGTCAGAGATGTTTTCTGACCTAGATCCTAGTGTGGTTTATATGGTTCTGTCTGAATGTGACTTTAAAGGTAAATAATATACAACTGACATTATAGTTTTGTTTCATGTGCAGATAGCTCTTAAGTGGTGCAACTCCTGAAAAGTTAGTGTGGGTGTTGCAATCATATTTGTGAGTTTACCTTTTTATAAGTAGGTGAGTAATAATGTTTTGAAATTTTACAACCATGTAAGATTCTCCAATTTTAGCAGTGTTTCTGTGAGCCTGATAAATGGAGCAGTGTGCTCCATAAATGGAGGTACTGCTTGGAGTGGATTGTTCTGTGACACAGAGCGGGCACTGGTGGAATTGTGAGGAGAATCTGGTTTTTCTAATTAGTTTCTGTGCCATATTCTGCAAAATGCTTAACCTGTTTCTGTACTAGGGGTATTTTATGTTCTAGATCACAATTTTTTGATGATGCGCCATATGTGATCCTGGCAGCATTTGCTTTTCCGTAAATACTTGTACTGAGCTTTTGTTTTCCATTTATTTTGCACTGTCATCTTGTCGTGTCCCCTGAGGATTAGTTTCTGCAGGATAAATTCTGTTTGCCATGTTTAGTTCTCTGCAGCCTTGCTGGAACTAAAGCAGGGAACTGGTTTCTTTCCCTACATTCTGCTGACCTACATACCCAACTCTCCTGGCAGACTATTTTCATATTTATGCCCACTCCCTCCCATTCTTCTGTGGTTTTAAAATTCCTCTATATGCAAGGTCATTTGCTTATGATAAAAGTACTGCATGAGGTGCAGGGGAATTAGCCACATATGGAGCATTTTAATCAATTTGCATTCATATGATCAGATGTGATTAACTGAGATTATTGTAAGAATATGTGCAAAGAAAGCAGATTTGGACATTTTTTTATATGTATGAAAACTAGGTAACCATTAAAAGGGCTGTTTTTATTTCCTAAATTGTACAGAGTTTAAAATTTAAGAACAAGTGGGAGAGTGCTGTTATAATTGTTGTTCATTTAAAAATTGAATTTCATGGAATTACTGATTCATGCTTCAAACTCTTAATAAGATTCAACCTTTACCATAATGCAGTTTTATCAAAAGCTTATTGGAGAATGCAGTAAACATGTAGAATTCACAGCCTTGTACTGTAAACAGTAGTTTAAAAATGGAAAGGTTAGCATATTTGAGTGCTAATAAGTTGTTTTCATACAGTACAGAAGCTGGAAGGATGACAAAGATTTTGTTTAATGAGTGCAGACAGAGTCATACTTAAATGAGCTTAAAGTTTTTGCTGCACTTTCAGGAAAACAGAAGCTTAGCTTTAGGGCTCAGATGATGTTTGTGCCTGCTTTTCATTTTGTTCATGTTGATCACTGGCACCCTCTACTCAATTTAGTGGCTTTACAAAGAATTAATGCAGATACTGGATTTTTCAGGGTATATTAGATAGGACATTTTAAAGTGGGCCATAGGGAATGTACTTTGCATACTTCTAGCTCTTTCATCCTTTGTAGAGTTTTTTGTTCATTTTACACTATTTCAGCTACATGAGATAGATTAGAAATAAGTATCCATTTAAATGTCCTGCTCTGATATTTTTTCCAGTTAAAATTTGTAATTTTTAGACATATTTCCATACAATTTTAAAGTTTATTAGGTTGTTATTTTTCAATATGTCCGTATTAAATTCTGCCTTTACTTCTAATGAGAAATGGGTCAAGAAGCTATGTATAAGGTGAATTGCTGAACTTCTTTTGGTTGTTTCTTTAGTTGTAGTAAATGCTTCCTCGAGAAAAAGGCTGCATGTGCATCAGCTTGGGTTTGTTTAGTTGACCATGCTTTATTCTGTTTATCTCACCCAACAGTAGAAGATGCTATGGATCATCTTCTAGAGCTGTCCACCCATGCCAAAGGAGTAGCATCCTCAAAAACCTTGAGTTTTGATTTAGCGGCATCATCATTACCTCTTGTTAATCAGCAAAGATCTACTGCAAATGAAGGAATGGGGGAAGGTCCTGCAGCACATAGTTATTCTGGAGCAGCAATAGAAAAGGTCCTGTCACCTGGTGTGCAGCTGACTGGAGAACTGGATTCCCTACTAGAAAATGCCCTTCGGAGTTACAGCTTGAGTGAGGAATTGCCTAATTCTGCAAATGACCAAATAGCACATGAGCACCCTATGGAACAGGGTGGTCTTACCAAATTTCCTGAGTGGGAAAAACCTGATTCGGTTTGCAATGTCCTACTTTTTCCAGAGCAAGCAGAGACAAATAATGAGGTTTTAGAAAACTTCTGCTGTTCCCAGCCACCAGTGAGTCAGCTGAGCATCCAGACAAGCTCACCATCTGCATCAGACAGTTTTGCAGAGATACTGGAAGATTCTGGTATGTTGGAAATACACCAGAATGTTCAACATGCTGTGGCTTCAGAAGTATATAAACTATCAAATGGAGAAATACCCTATGAAAATTCTGATCAGACACAAGATACTGTTTTGGATCAAAGTAGTGGGAGTGCTGCTTCTTGTGGGTCCTCCCAAAGACCTATGGAACTTGGAGTAACTGTTTCTGGAGATCCTAATTCAAGGTGCCTGGAACAACATGAAGATGCAGTGACTGCCTTTAGCAGCTACCAGAGTGCTTCTCTTCCAGAGGCGTGTATCTCTCCTGAAACATCCAGTTTCAAAACACAAAAACCTGCAGATGCTCAGCAAATTCAGCAGGGTTATAACTTAAATTTTCCTACACCATCGGTTCAATCTCAACAACACTGGAATCTCATGGCTCCTGTGTTTTATCCATCCAGTGGAAGTCACAGTTTTGTAATTCCTGTGGCTGCCAGTCCAGGGCAGTGGAGACCTATTTCTGACTGTAGAACTTCGGGAAAAGGACCTTTTCTTTCCTCCCCAGTGGTTTCAAATGCCTGGGATGGCAGCTCTTCTCTGAAGGTATGGGGAAATCAAGATAGAAACTCAAAATTGAACCTCCCGCAAGCACAGCAACCACGTGTTTGTCACATGATGAGAAAAAAGATGCAACTAATAGGTCAAGTACTTGTTCTTCTCAGAGGTGTTCCAGGATCAGGAAAATCATATTTGGCAAGGTAGAACATTTATATTGTGAGCTTCTAAAAAAAATTGCTTTATCATGTACAGGATTTGGCATAGGCAGAGACAGTTTTCTGACATTTGTAGTTAGTAATGTGTAAACCGTAACTGCAAGCTACACAGTACACGCAGTATGATAGGTAATAAGAATTGCTGAAAACAGAGTTGCTTGCAGGTCCTTTCCTAGTGGAAATGGAAATAGGAATGATGAGCTTTAACTTCTGTCACTGAGCAAAGGAGTTTGTCAGCAGAGGATCAGTGCTGTAGTGTTAGATCTGCTGTACTCTTACAGTCCCAGTTTATTTGGAGTGTTTTCATGGAATAACACTGATAGAAATATGCCAGCTCTTTACAGGCAGAAATTCCCCTTTCACTGTGTAACTTCTATTGTATAAGTAGTATATGTTAAGCTTCTTGGGGGGAATTTTTGATTCCTTTTCTTACTTTCTGAAAGCCTAGATTGAACTAAGACTCCTTTTGACTGACACCTGAAACATGTGATGTAATTAAGACAGAATATTTGTCAGTGTGAAAGTATGTCACTACATGTCGATGGAAAAATACCTCCCTTGATGTTTTGAAATGAGAGATGTAGGGAAACCGTATCAGCTCTCTCCCCTAGATAATCCTCAGCATTTGGAAAAAACAAGGGAGGGAAATTATTATAGATCATATTTGCTTGGAGGTTGATTTTCTTTCTCCTCTTACTTACATTTGCTGCTTCCGTTCCAAATAATTTAATTTTGTGCAAGAGTGTAAAAAAAAGTATGTATGGTAGTAGAGATTGCAGCTTGGGAGGAGAAGGGGAAAAAGCTGATTATTTCTTGATCTTTCACAGGAATTTGCTTGAGGATAACCCAGGTGGAATCATTCTTAGTACTGATGATTACTTTTACAAACATGGACAATACCATTATGATCCTGATTGCTTAGGGGAAGCACATGAATGGAACAGGAAAAGAGGTGAGACATAAATAAGGGATTAGCTTGCTCACAGTTCTGAGCTTGTGTGCTGTTTAAAAATCTGCCTGGCTTGTTATGTGACAAACATTTACCCCATTGTAGAAGTATTTTTTAATATGTGCAGAAAAAGAGTATGAGCACAAACTCAGAAGTCATCTGTTCACTGTGTGTTTTGCAATTAGAAATGCCTCTGTCTTTCAAGAGTATGTTTTGTCCTCAGATTTTATAATGGTATATATTTTGGGTGGTGTCCCTTTTCTAGAGTGGTTGCCTACACCATCTCCCAGAACTATTTCTTCTGAGATGATCCATAATATACATATGCAATATGTAATGAATACACAAATAATACACAGATATCTTCCTGCTCTTGGTTATCTTTTTTTTTCTCTTGTACACAAAATTGTTTTCAAATTTAAACAAAATTATAAGAGCAAGACAGAATAAATTATTTTTCTCCATTTCATAATTGGATGGGGTTTTTTTGACAGTGACCTGTGCTAAACTCACCACAGAACAAGTCTTTTTAAGTTTTTACTTGCTAAATTTGAACCATGATCCCTTTTCTGTTGTCAAATTTCTACTAGTGGAGAAATTAAATATTAAATATGGGATTCAGCAAGAACTGTGATTGTTCAGACACATTGTAACATGGCTACAGAAACATGGTGCTGTGTCTCAAAGTTAGTGGTTCTATACATTCTATACATTTCATTAATGTGTATTTAAATTACAATAATTCTTTTGGTTTTTCATATTTTGTACAGTTTACAGAGTGGACTAATCTTAAGACTGTTATAAAGCCAAGAATTTTGTATGCAACAAAGAAGTCCACTTTAAGGTGATCATGTAGTTTTTTTAGTTTAATTTACTGATTGATTAGTCATCTTGATGCATTTTACATCTGCATTTTCATTCCTTGATTATCATATGTATGTTAATTCAAAAGCTAATGCCATATCTCAGTAGTTTTACATGTGAGGGGGGATTTCTGAAATAAAGGGCCTTGAAACAGATCAGGCTATGGCAAGAGTTCTTTACACAGTGGTTAATCATTATGGATTAGCTACATAAAAATAGAACAAACTTAGAGAATGAGTATTAATATGTTCACCCTATTGTAATGAAATTAACTGTATTACCTTGTTTTCTACATGTGTATTTTTCAGCCAAAGAAGCGTTTGAAAAGCGAATCTCTCCTATAATAATTGACAACACAAACATACAAGCATGGGAGATGAAGCCTTATGTTGCTTTGGTTAGTATTACAATTTGACCAATGTGAAAAGGGATTATTGTCTAGCATGGCAACAACGTATGTTTTAAAATGGGAGTGTCTTTCACAGTCCAGCTTCTATTCCACAAGGAAGTCTGGAGTAAAAAAGCTGGTGTTGCATGGACTCATTGCTCAGTGTCATGTTGTGTTGCATGACTCATGCAGTGTCATGTGTCATGTGGTATATGAGCATTAACCTGGCCTAGTTACCAAAAACCGAAGCCAAATTCTTTGCACTTGGGGCCAAAAGCAAGTGTTGTTGAAGAAACTGGATTTTGTTCCTCTTTTGTATGATCAGTAAAATTAGAAGCTGCTTTAGAAATGCAATCAACAGTAATGAATGAGTGATGTCTGATGCTTTGTAAAACTTGAAAACTCAGTTCCATCCTAAATATAGAGGCAGATACCAGTTGGAGGCTAGAGTTACCAAATATTGCTAGCTTGCTTCTAGTTATGCAGATTTACTTAATACTTTTTGTTGAAGTGATCCCCCCTTTTCACATAATAGTTTTTAAATGGACATCAACACTTTTAGAGTCTCGAGTGTATTTTGCTATTGATCATTAACCATATTGGTTGGTAGTTAGAACAACATTATTTTATCACATTAGTTCTGATTAACTGAAATAATACAGTGAAAAAAAGTATTATAATGTAGGTCTGGGATTTCTCCTTGCCTGTTACAGAAACACAGCAGAGAGTGTAGTACATATAATTGACAGCTTTTGAGCAGATACCTTACATATGCTGCATGTGCTAATAGATTAATGAACAGTGAGACTTTGACACACATAATTTTTGTTAATAAAATGTTTATTTTGCTATCCTTGCATTTATTAGCAACTGTCAGATTAGCAGTTCTTTTGTAAGTTATGTCTTTATTTTGCTGTTTGCTGAAATCAAGATGCAACAAGAGTTCTTGCAGAAGTGCAGTGTTTGGTACAGTGATAAGAATTTTTTCTGAAAACAGGAATGGGGAGAAACAGCACAGTACTTGCAGTGTTTCTCCTGATTAGACTGTAGGCTCCTTTTCTGTCATGATGAGACTGAACTATATAGAAACCATTTACTTGCAGCTTGGTCAAGTTTCCCATGTGGCAGGAAGGCTGTCCACAATAGCTGTGCTGATGTAACTGAATTGCTTGTTTTGGAGCTGGTTCACATCTGGTCAGCTCTGAATGTAAGCTGTGCACTTTCCTCTGTCTTGGAGAGGCTGTGTAGAAATGTGTATGCTGTATCTGGAAAGAGATGATGCTTTGCAGTGTTGTCTCAGAAGACACATCATGGCACATTTAATTTTATGGTAAGAGATACAGAAACGTTTTTTAAAAAATCTCAGTTTATATAAACTGAAATGCAACACTGAAAAAAAACCCTTTATTCCAAATATTTTTTTCCATAGGTATGCAAGCTATGCATATAGTGTGCTTTGTCATAGAAATAAGAAATGGGTGATGTGGCATGTTCTGTTTTATATTATATCTCTTTATTCAGGCTCAGCAGTTCAAATACAAAGTAATGTTCCGAGAACCAGACACTTGGTGGAAGTTTAAACCAAAAGAACTTGAAAGGTAAGAATGTAAAAGAAAATAACATACTGGACAGTACAAGCTATGATTTTTAAAAAGGTGTCATTTAGTACAATGGCTAGTGAAGTAGCAAGGTATCTGCCAAAATTTTTTTTATAATAAGTAGCTTTTTAATGATATTTTGTGGAGTTTTTAATGTATGTATTATAAGATCTGTCACTTCAGTTACATGTAGAAGGTACTGTTAGCAATAGACACTGTGATGTTTTCATTATTAGAGTTCTTGGCATGTAAGGTATAGGTGGCTGTTCCTTTGGATCACTGAGGTTGCAAAAATTATGTCAGGTTGGGTCTGGTTTTGCATCCTGGTCTGTTGCTTTAGTTGAATTTAGGGCAGTCAGCACCTCGTGGCCTAAAGAGACAAACCTCTTAGGTGCATCATCATTGCTGCTTACCTCTTCTTTAGCAGGGTTTTCTATTACTTAGGGCTGAAATCAGCAAGACATGAACCCTATGTAAGTGAACAGTAAACCATAAGAAAAGATAATGAGAAAATTGGCTAGATGCCAGGTTCAAATGTTGTGTGAGCCAAGTGAAGGCCTATGTCCCTCTGGGGAGGGACTGCAGCTCTTTAATGTTCTTTTTATGGCTTGGATGCTGGGACAGAGTGCACTCAGCAGATTCGCAGGTGATATGGAACTGAGCAATAGTAGTTTATTCAACCTTAAGCAGAGATAATTGAAGAAGAATAATTGTGTTGTTTTCAGCTACCTTTTGAAACATTATAGAGAAGACTAAAAAGAGTTGTGCAGGGATAGGACAAACCAAACATCATTAAGTTGTAACTCTAGATTACATTTAAAAAAAAGCCCAACATTTACTTTAAAGGTGGTTAGGTACTGAAAGAGTTTGCCCATAGAGTTTATAGACTTTCAGTCATTTTGGACATTCAAAATCAGCCAAAAAGCTCTGGGCAACGTGATCTAGCTGTACTTCCTCTGAGTAGGAGACTGAAGTATGGGACTTCCAGAGGTCCCTTCCAACAGAAGTACTTTTCTGATTTTACAGTATCTGTTGTCATCTGAATTTGCATGATTAGCTTAAGGTTGGCTGCTTTTAAAGTGAGGTAAGGTAGATTATTTTCCTTTTTAAAATAAAAGTTAAACTTTTTCTTCTGTATTTTCAATTTCTCTTTTACTATCCTTGGCAAGATTTACTTGTTCTAGGTGGCACTGCAGCAGAACACAATGCTAATTGGTGCTTAACAGAGTTAGTGAAATTTTCTGGCCAAAGGGTGTCCGGAATAATAGGTGAATACATTTTCTTCAAGGCTCAACGAGTTCTTTGTTTAGCAAAATCAAGGAAAGAAGACTGAATTCAGAAGTCTTCTGTACCCAGTTTGGTATCCTGCATCACTGTCAGGATCTGATATAGTGTGTTTTCTGAAACTTATTTGAGGAAGATGCATTATTAGTGCAGTTTTAGATTTTAGTATTATGCAAAACATCCAACTAACTGCAGTACGGGGAGACCAGATGGGGTGGAAAACTGGAGCAGCAATTTGTCTGATGTGCCCTGTTTGCAATGCCTTAGTGCACTGATACAGAAAGAATGGCTGTCTCACAGCTTTTCATCTGGCTCCCTGAATTCTTTGGTTAGTCTTGCTGTAAATCTATTACATTTTTCTCCTTTGTCATTGTAATACAGAAGTTTGAAATGGCTTTATATTTGTTTATTGTCAATTCATAGGAGAAACGTTCATGGCGTATCTAAAGAAAAGATCAAAAGAATGTTGGAACGCTATGAACGCTGCCTTACTGTGAGATCAATATTGGATTCTTCAGTTCCAGACAAATCAGAAGCTGCTGGTTGGAGTGAAGATCCTTGTCAGGAGGAAAGCCAGAGGTTAGATTCTTTCACTAGCTTTATAGCATCAAATAAAAGACTAAAAATGTAGCCTTTTAGCTTCTTAGCAACAAAACCTGGGTAATAATGTCAAATGGTGAATAGGTTTAAAAAGACAGTTAAGTAACACAAAAAATCCCTGCATAGTTTTTTTAATTTTTAAGAATTTCAGGATTGTCAGAAATGAGTAGTGAAGGGATCTAGTCAACTTTCCAATGCTTTTGAAAGCCTCCCATTATGGCAGTGTTACTTTTCAAGAAGCCAATCTTGACTGACTTGCTGTTATCTTAGAAATGTGTTGTTGGATGTATGCTATAGATAAAAAGCACTTAAAATCTCTAAAATGTTTTTTAGAAGAATGTTGTCCCAAATAAGAGCAAATGACAATTTTCAAGTATGTATGTTGATATTAGATTATATCTTGGTGATAGAAAGTGTATTCTCTGTGCAGTGGTAACAGGTTTTACTTGCTCTTCAGTATACTTGATTTAAACTTGCCTAGGTTTCCATTGGCTGTATCCAGGACTGTTCTGCAGTTGCCAGTCTGGATTGTGCTGTGTATTGTAGTGCACAGTGTTATGCCCAGGAATGGTAGTCCCCAGCTCAGTGCCCCCACTGAGACTCCCAAACCACACACTCACTGCTCGTTTGCTCCCCCTTCCTCTTCCCATTCCTGCTCCAGCAATGATGTAGGTGGTCTAAAATAACCTCCATGTTCTGGCCAAAACTAGGACACACACACAGGAAATCATATTTGATTTCAATTATTATTTCACTTGGATTTTGCATGTGTGATGTATTTGAAATGATAATTAATGGAATGTAGTTGATTGTAAAAAATGGTTTGACAAGAAATTGCACATTCTCTCCTAGTTAATGTCTAGACTGTCTTTAGCATTAAGCCAAGAGGAGAGAGCAGCAGTCATTAGATAAAAGTATATTTACCAGACTTGCTGATCTGAATGAGGAAGTGTCTTGGCAGCAAAGTGCTTTGATACAAAACTGAATGCTGGAAGTGGGATGGGGGGGAGATTGACTCCTGAGAAGGTGTTCTTAGCCCTGTGCTCTAGTAAGAAGAGCACAAAAGAAAGTTACTTAAGAAAGTGCTTACTAAAGAAAGTTCATCTTTGCTTAGCTCCTTTTTTGTTGAGGAGTGTTGGAGTTACAGCTAGTTATAAATTTGTTTTCCTTCTATTAGAAGTCTAGCTAGGTTAAACTCTCTATGCTATCTCTAGCTGGAGTTAAAAATGTGGACAATGTTTTAAGAAAGTTTGAAATGGGTCTATATTTCATTCCAATTTGTCTTTCAGAAAGAGAGAGGCACATTCTGATGTAAAGGAAGAAGAATGTTTTGCTTCTGAGGTGGAGCCTATTGAACTAGCTGAAGCTGATAAAACTTCTCCCAGTATTTCTCTAACATTAGAAAGTAGTTGTGACCCCGAGCATTTTCAGAAAGAGGAAAAAGAAATGGAAAATATCTCAGTGGAACACAATTCTGAGAACAGCACTGTTGAAGATGACTTGGAAATTAATTTATCAGATTGCATCAAAAGAGAGCTGCCCTTGAAGAAGAAAGAAGAAAAGAGATTAAAACCAGAAGAAAGTACTGAAGCAGGAATGGATGAGGCTGATGTGATTCCAGCTGAAGAGACTGTGAACTTACACACAGGTGGAGCTGAGGAACACAGTGATAACAACAGTGGCAGAGTTCAAACTGCAGTTGAACAATTGGGCAGAATGTGTATGGAACCAAAATCAACACAAATGAGTAACACGGTGGAATCAAGCAGTTCGGCTTTTGACACATCAGGAAAACCAGAACTACTAAACTTTCTGGGTGACTGGCCCATGGAACAAACAATGGGACAGAGAGTCAAAAGATCTAGAAGACTAGAAAAATCTCCTCTGAAAAGTGATAAGGAAGGTGAAACTCCCAGTCAGCAGCATTCTGAGATAGGTAAAGAGCAGGTGGACCTGCCTGAGACATGTACTGTTGAGAAAGGACATGAGGATGAAAGTCTACCCTGTAGCTGTTACTCTGTTAGTTCAGATAAAGTTACACCAGAATTGCAAATGTTAGAATATTGGCCTGTCTCAGCCTCATTAGAACAGAGACAGCAAAGGTCAAGGAGAATGAGAAAGACAAATTTAAGTCAGTGTGATGAGGACAGAAATACTGAAGACGACGCTAATATGAATGTTCTTGAGACTGTGCATGTGGTTCATGGGTCACCTGTGAGCACTGAAGAGCAACCAGATACAAGGAGTTTGCCTGTACACCAAGCCGAAATAGTAGGTAGTGAAACAGTAAGTGAGGAAAAATCCCAGCAAAGTAAGAGAACAAGGAAACATCACAAATTAGCCCTCACTTTTACAAACAGCAGCTTGCCACATCCCAGAGAAGAGGACCATTTGTCTAAACTTAACCTGGCAGAAGAGAAACAGGAAACAGATTTATGTAGGCAAAAAAGTAGCTATTCACAGACTGAATCACAGGACTTTGCTCTCCTGTGGAGATTAGAAAAGAAAATGCTTTTTCCTGAGACAGCAAAAATACTGCATGGGAGGTTAGATGGCTTCAAACCCAAAGACATAGATAATGTCTCAGATTCTCAGGAAAAAATACCCTATCGAGTTACGTATGATAAAAGTACTTTCGTGGAGGAAAGTGAGCTTATCAATATTGATGAGTCTGAAAAACTAGATATACTCTGTAAGCTCTTTGAGTCTGTTTCATTTGAAGCTCTGAAAGATCTGTATGAAAGATGTAACAAAGACATAGACTGGGCCACAGGTCTGCTGTTAGACTCTGATGAAAAGCTATGTAAAGCTGTTGATCCTGAGAGCTTTCAGGTAAGCGAAGCTGAGCCAGTGGCCACAGACCTTGATTTCAAGGCTAGTATAAACTATGATGAGAATCTCAAAGACTGCAAACAAGCCCCACAAGTACTTGGGGCTGGTGATACCTTTGAGACTTTGGAAGGCAAGGACTCACCACTCAGCATTGCAGAAAGTAGGGCTACCAAGACAGCTGTGACAAGTGCTGATGTTTCTGACTCATTCACTGCTACCTCATTGGATAATTCAGTGGAAGTGAAAAATTCTGTGGATTCAGCCCCTAGAACTAACACAAGCAGCTCAGCAGCAGGTGTCATGGAGCTTTCTGTTTCAGGAAAGCAGAAGGGAGGGAGTGAGAGTCCTCTTGAAGAAACTGTAAATAAGCCATCACTTTTACAACTTGATGCAGCTTTGCCTCATGATCCTAACATAACTTCTACCAATTTGAAATCTGAATTAAACAATGAAAGTGACAGTAACCCTTCAGAAAGCAATGCCAAAAATTCCAAAGGGGCTGGTTTGTTGGAAGTGGATCGTGCACCTCTGGTTGGTCCTAGCAGCAATAAAGAACTGGAGCTGGATAAAGAAACTCAGGAGAATTGCAGGGAGATATGTGGTAAAGAAGAAATTGACACTCCAAGCTGGGCTGCAACTAAAGCCAAGAGGCAAAGCCCTATACCAGCATCACATGCAGCCTTCAGTATAGATTGCCTAGAACTAACATTGCCTCCTGAATTGGCACTCCAGCTGAAAGAGATATTTGGACCTGTTGGCATTGATGCAGGTATGATGTAATTATATACATGTTTTTATGAAAAAAAAATTATTTGGATAGTAAACCTTTCTTTCTTTGCCTGTGTTTTTTTCTCTTCATGCTTGATTTTTAGGGAGTAGATTCCTGTAACTCCTCATGATACTGGCGGTTGATGTTAATGCAGAAATAAACTGAACTAAGCATAGCATAAAATATAAGTGCAGTAGTGCTACCTTCTGCCTTTGTCTTTTTGTACATGCACATACTTCACAGTAAAAATATATTTGCTTATTTGCATTCTGAGCAACAGGCCTTTGAGCTTATATTCGAACTCTGAAGAGATATTTAGATGATAAGGAATATGCAAATTGTGGCTGATTAGGAAAGAAGAAAGGGAAAAAAAACCTTTAGGCATCACATAAGTTGGGGAACAAGAAGATGGATGGTTAAGGGAGATGAAGTTGGCTGTGTCCTTAAAAAGATGACAACAGATCAGTCTGCTGGCAGATTATGGTTAAGGAAGTCATAAGCAGCTTAAACATGCATCTCACAAGTTAAAGAGTGATAGAAAAAGGAAAAAAGAAAATAGGAGGAACATAAGATTGATGTTTTTCTCTCTTTTTTTCCCCACACTTTTCCCTTTTTTTCTCCTTTCTGTCTTTCATCTTATCTTGAAGATTGCATTATGTGAAACCCTGGATACCTGATTTATTGGTGGGTTTGATTACTGGTCTCTTTGCCTTACATGCCTACCTCCTTAAAAAAAAGTTTGCTTTTTATAGCAGAAAAGTGTTTTATTGTGTCTGAAGTATGCTCAAAACTTTTATTTGACGCATACATACTTCTTGCTTTTTTATTTTTGAAAGGGTGAGAAATACCCTTTTTAGGAAAAAGAGCCTTTGTTATGATACCATGATAATTTCTGCTGTTTCCTTTAGAGTTTGGGGGGATGCTTGGAGTTTGTCTCTCTGAGTTTGTGTGCTGGAAAGGAGGGATGTGACTGCTGTTGGGCTGTGGTGGCTATGTTGTACAGAAAAGCAGTTGCCATGTGGATTGCAATGGAACAGGGGGAATCAGAGTTTCGTGGATGAAACTGTTGTCAATTAACAATGGCTTTGTAAAAGAAGGGTCTGCTAGGAAAACTGAAAAGAGAAGGAAAAATACCACTGTCCAGGTAGTCGTAGTTCAACAGTATACAGTTAATGTTGACTTGTTTCTTTCCTAGCCTTTCAGAGTTTTTGAACACCTGAAAATAATTTCTGTGGAATGTGCTTTTTTGTTTAGAAGTTTTTTTTAGGCGTGACCAGTTTATGTAGAATATCTAAAGTTAAAATTAATAAGTCTAGGATGCTGTACTTTAATTGCTTACATAAGTTTTTATAGAATGCTTTTAATGAATATATTCTCTTTGTTCCTCAAGGATCGCTAACTGTTGAGGATTGTGTGGTTCATATTGATCTGAATTTGGCAAAAGTGATTCATGAAAAATGGAAAGAATCTATTCTGGTCAGTAGATTTTTTGGTTTATGATGCATTGTGGCATGCCTGTATTTTGTCAGACCATTTGTCTTGGTCTAAAGGTATTATCTTTGTAAGAACAATGATAAAATATAATAGTAGTTTGTAAAATGTGTGGAGTGTATCAGTATGTTATAATCATTGGAGCTATTGGAAGGTGTTTTAAGGGATGTCATGAGTGCCTCATCATAAAAACAAGATTCTTAAAAAAGAAGGATCATAGTGCACAATTTCACTACAAGATTGATGAAGAATTTCACTGGACAAAAATCCTTATTGGTTTTTTGACCTGTAAAAACAATTCTTTTATTAATTATTCTCTATACAAAACATCTCCATGTGCAATAATTGAGATGAGCTCTCTAACTTATGTTCCTTTACAGCTCTGTGAAACTTGGAATGCCTTTTGGCTAAATTTTTGTTTGATTTATGTAATCAAGCCTATGAAGTCTTAGCAGTGGGGCATGTTTCTCTGGTTTGATGTGTTTTTAGAAAGATAATTTTAGCTTACAACTTTCACTTCAGAATTATTTTTCCTAAATATGTATTTTTTAAATACTGAATCTTTGAGAAGTATTGTGAGACCTTATTTTGAAATTGCTTTAATTAGAAGCTAACACTTGCAAAGTTTTCCTGCAAAATTCATAACTTACAACATTCATGATTTTACTATTTTTATTTAGAAGCGTCAGAGGAGAGATGAATCTTGTAAGTCGTCTGCAGAAGGTATGTCATGTATTGCTTTTAATTGTAAAAGTACTTAATGTTCATTATAAAAGCATTTAATTATTTGAAACTTAAGGTTGCAAATGCTCCATCCATTGAAAAATGATGACTTTATTTATTAGACTAAATTGTATTGCCTTTGGATCCATTTACCTATCTCTTGTGATGTGTGGGGGAGGGGAGAGGAGTTAATTAAAAGCAGAATCACTTGTTCCAGATAAAGCCTATAGTTTTGTGTCGTTCAGAAAACTTGGAGAAGCTCTGGTTGAAGCAGACAGCCCTTTGGTAGGAATTCTCTGTGGCAAGAAAAGGAACAGTCAGAGAATTACCAGCAGAGTAAGATTTCTGCAGGCGAGGAAGGGAGGTCAGGAATACAACACTGACAAGTTGTTCATCAGAGATGATTTTAGCAGGAAGATGGATGCCTTGTTCAAAAAATGTTAACATCTCTTGCAGTCCAGTTTCATTCAGGTCCCAGAAGAAATGTCCCTCTATGGCAGAACCCCACTGCACACTTGGACTGCAATGTGGGTGCAAACTAGTGACCAAACAATGCTGTTGCCAATAACTTGTGGAAGTAGAAAATGAGATTATTAAGCATCTGTCCTAAAGTTGTAGAAGAAAGGCAGGTAAACATACTAGTCAGTGATTCTTTTATAAAAGCAAACAAGCCCCACCTAATGTATGTGCATGGTGATTTACGGCTGTAAGATACATCTTAGCACTTGAGAATTTGGTGAGGAAGTCTGGTGGTTTTCTTTTATTTCACAAAATAGATAAAGATGATCAGACAGTCTTTGGAAAATTGAAGTGGAGAAAGTGAAAGCAATGTGTTGGTTTTTGTTTTAGTATTAATAATCTTGTTTTAACAAAACTCAAACTGTATAAATTGAAAAACTTGTCTTAATTATTTTGTCATTGCATGTATATATAACCTAGTAAGTGTTTTGTCACCCTACTTTTATTGTTTTTGAATGTCCTACAGTGTTTCAGCAGATAGATACAGATGACTCAGAAGTGCTGTTATCTCAGAATGCAGACAGCAAAATACAGAAGAAGAAATCGAACTTGGCTGCAGACACATCTAATAATATACAGACAAAAACCCCAGCAACATTAGATGTTTTTCCATTTATGGATCATTGGAATGCTCAGATTCAGAAAGTTTCTCTCAGGCAAATAATTTCTGAAGAAATAGCCATGCAGGAGAGAGAGGACCTGGTATGGATAGCACCATTTTTTAAATGTGCCTTAGATTCATTACTGTTAGTGAAATAGGGTATGTCTTATTTGGTGACTCATCCCTGTGTTGCTGATTACAGCTTGAATTTGTGACAAAAAAATGCATGCCAATTAGTATTGTTGATAACTGTGATACAGAAGTTTTGCTTGAGGTAGATGGTTCTGTTTGAAAAATACAGTCTCATTTAGAATATAATATTTTGGTTGTTTTCACACAGATCATGCTGCATTTTACTATCCAGGCTAGCATTTGTGTTTGGTTGAATTATTTTTTGGTTGCTCAGCTAAAACCAAAATCAGTATAATCTTCCATGCTTTTCATTGTGACAGCAGTATCAAAAAAAAAGTTCTTAGTTAGCTCCATGCCTTGTCTAGAAGTGTACTGAATTGGCTGTAATGGTTTTTTTTTTTGTTTAGGAGAACCCACAATATTCCTAACAGATGAGACATTAAAATAAGTAATTGAGGTTAATCTGCAACAAGTTTCTGTACCCACTTCTAAAGTAACCCTTTAATAGATTTTTACTAGTTCTTTGTTTTCCACACAGAATTCCTGTACCCTGCCTGTTTGGCTTGTGCCTGTTACTGCCCTCTACTGCCCCACTGATGTTCAGAACAGGTGTTCTTATTTGTAATGGTCGCTGATAAGCAGCTGTCCTAAAGTAGAGGAGCTCTGAACTGGTGTAGGAAGTTGTATGAATTAGCCTGTACTTGGAAAATGGCTTGTGGATTCTTTCTTTGAGCTGCATGTACGTGCCCTACTGATAAGAACAAATGTCATGTCCACAGCTTTACTTTCAGTTTGAATTCATGGAGCTTTGCTTTATCTTGACCACTTTTTTTCTTTTTAAAAAAAATCTGAATATTGGAACGATCATTCCAATTGATTCTAGGTTATAATTATGTCACCTTCTCAGATGACAACTAAGAATATTTATTATAGACACAGCTTCTGATACATCAAACCAAAATTGTTTATGCCGCTTAATAATGAGGTATTGTTTCAACCCCAGGCCCTCAGTATAAAGAGGAGTACTTTGCACAAGCTTAGCACTGGACTGAATGGACTGGCAGGGAATAAATTCCAAAAGCTAAATCCCTCCTAAAAATCCTCATTTTACTTTGTCCAAATTATGGGGGACCTCCAGCTGCATTACTTCAAAAGACTGCAGAGTACTGCAGTGGTGTATGATACAACTCACCTGTCCTTACTTTATGCTGATCAGTGTGGCAGGCTGGTATGGCACATTGTCATTGCTGTGGGTGCATACCAACTGAGTAGATACTTCTAAAATGGTAACAAATAATGGCAAAGTTGGATTGGCTCCACCTTTACTGTATTTTTTTTCTAATGAAGAACTTTTAATACATTTCTTTTGTTTTCTGGGTAGAATCGTGTTCCTTCTACAGCCAGAAAAGACTGTGCTGCTAAACTAAAGGAGAAGCAACTTTTTGAGATGTTTCCAACTATTAATCAAAATTTCTTAATGGATGTCTTCAGGGACAACAAGTAAGAAATCCTATTACTTCTTTGTAAAAATGGTACTCAGTTACAGTCATAAATATTGAGACTTAAGATGCTACTAAAGAATGGTTTTTTGCAAAGTAGTGCTTTTTGTTACTCTAAATAAAGGCAAAAAGGGTATAAAACTCAGTTTAGACACATTTCTTTTTAAGGCAGAAGAGACAGTTTCTTTCACTGGGAGAAGAGTGTCTCTTGCTGTTGACCACTGCCTGACTGTCAGTGGAACTGCATATTTTCTTGAGAGCTGGGGTTTAAATCTAGTGGGAGAAATGAGTGGGTGTGGTAGTAGTAGCATTGCAGGAAGTGGCATCTGCCCAAGAGGAAAACAATCATCACCTGGTGTTACCTGTGAGTGCTTTCCTGGTTACTGCAGCTGCTCTGAGGGAATGAACCATCTCTCTATGCCTTCCTGCTGACATTCTCTTTCTCTCTTCTGCATTATGTTTCTGGGATATATGTCTACCTTCTTAAATCCAAGTTTCTGTGAAGTTTCTGCCTTCTTAAATCCAAGTTCCTTTTTTTTTCAAGAGAAACATCTTTTTTCATCCTTGGCCATTGGAATGTCTGTCTCTACATATGGGTTTGCATACCTACTTGTCAGTCATGCTGCTTGTCCAGGTTGTTATAAAAATCTTTCCTGTTTAAAATATATCCTTCATCCATTTTTATAATTCAAACATTTCACCATCTCATTTTTCACATTCAAAATTGTCCTCATAGTGTTACCTTTCCCAAAATCTGTCCTTACTTTTGATCAGTCTGTTCTTGTTAGCTTACTAAAGAGCAAGAATAAAGAAGAAAAACAGCTTATTAGAAAGCTTTTGGCAACCGATGTCTTACTTAATTAAATTTGATAACAAAGTTTGACTAAAAATGCAAGGATTTTCCCTCATTAGGGTTTCAGAAAACTGAGCTACTTTTAAATTAGTTTGAACTATCTAACCTTTACCAGAGAAGACTTAAGATGAGCTATCTTTCTCAGCCCAAAGAGCAGCATTTATTAATATCTTTTTGATTAATGTAGGATGCAATTTATTTCAGTTATGTAATTTTCCTTTTAATGTTCAAGTGCCCCTCAGTTATGTTTCAGTCGACCAAGACTGCATGTGTGTTGATGCCAGTAATGCCCTACAAGGAGTTTGCAAGCCTTTCTTTAATAAGCTGGAATATTCCATTCCAGTGTTTATTTTCATTGTAATCTAGTTCTGTAACAATATCAATGTTTGTTATAATGAATTTAGATAACTACAGCAGCTATTAATATATATTTGTAAAGTCACGGGCTTTATTTATCCTTTACAGCTACTCTTTAGAACAAACTGAACAGTTTCTGAACTGTGTTCTGGAGGCAGATCCTGTACAAACAGTTATAGCTCAAGAAACTGCTCAGCAAAATGAAATTGTTTCTTCCTACAATACTGCAAAGAACCGTGAGAAGAAGGTATTTATATTTTTTTTAACCATAGTTATAAACATAGCCAAAACAATGCTAATGGAAACACCCTACAATGCACCTGTAACTTCAACAATATGAATTCCTACAGGCAAAAAAAAGTAAGGAAGAGGATGATCCTTTATGTGAAATGTTTCAAGACTTTGAATATCCACAATATGATGATTTAAGAGCAGAAGCTTTTTGTCACCAGCAAAAGAGACAGGAATGTTTGAGAAAGGCTGGAGAGGCCTATCGCATGGGTATGAAGCCTGTGGCGGCATTTTATGCACATCAGGTAAACAAAAATATTGTGCTTTTTGTCTGAACTTAGGGAAGTACTTAAACCCTGAGTTGGAAGTGATAAGGAAAACATCATGCCTGCTAGAGTTGATGAATTTGGTCACTGTTCCCTGTGTATTATATTGACAATCACAAGTAAATTTGCTTCCACTAGTAATGATACTGGCACAGGAAGCTAATGTAACCAAATCTAGTGTGAGACCTCATGAAAGGTGATATCTAGTGCTTAGTCACACATGCTCCTTTGTCTTAGATCTCTTTCACATCTCATCATGTCCTTGTAAACACCAAGATTTGTGTCCAAGTGATCTGGCTAGGTTCACTGAAGTGTGACATGGACTGCAACAAACATAAGTTTTTTGAATCCTCTGTATATGTTAGTGCTGAACTGTTCTTAGACACATCTTCTGTACTTTATAGGAGTCAGACAGGTGTTAAGATGTCATCTTTTGCCTCTAAATCTTGTTTGCTTCATCCTCCATATATCTTGGGCAAGACTGCTGCCTGCTGTCTTCGCTTCTTCATTCTGACTATCTTTATGGCTACAGTCTGTCTTGGGTTGGGATAAATGAGGTGTGTATGTCATGCTTTTCATGATACATCTGGTTATGCAGTGTAGATCTGCTGCTGATCAGTCTTGCATGCTCTGGCCTTGGAACACTAGCTCTTTGGTCTTGATTCAGGCACATTTCTTAGTATGCACCAGTTTGAGTACTGCTGATCAGTGCTGTTGATCCTACTCCTGCTTTTAAGTCTCATCTCTTCTTGTAATCAAAGTTCCTCTACATTGGCTTCTTAGTTCCTTCACAGGCACTAAGCATGTCCCTTGACATCATGCTTAATAAATGTGTTACAAGTATCTTCAAAGGCTGTAGTTTTCCCCTGATCTAATAGTATATAAAAATTCAGTAAGAATTCACAGTATAGAAGCATTTAATTCTAAACTTGGAATTGTATTATGACAGAACAAAAATGTAATAATAAATCACTTGAATTTGCTTATTCAAAAAGCTTTCATGCAAGTGGTGTAATTCTAAATGTTTAGATTGTTACTGTGCATGTAGGAAGTACAGATTATCAATTTTTATAATGAACTTTTTATGCTTTTTATGTGTTTTATCCTGTTTCATATATTCTTGAAGTTTTGAGACAAAGATGTTCAGGATTTTAAATAGAAGTGTAATTTCAAGTCCTTACTTTGGTTCTTATCCATAAGAACAAATACAATCTATTGTAAATCTATTGAAATTTATTCATTATATACTTTCCTTTAGGTAATAAAAAGGCAAACTAATCTACCTTTATTAATAAAAAATACTTTATTCCTGGTGGCCTTTGTCTTGGGAATCCTTTGCAAGTGGGTTACAGAGCTGCTGTCTTGGGTCTGACACTAACACACTTCAGGTGATCCATTTTAAGAAAGTGTAAGACAGATTTTCACTTTTGTTCTCTTGAGCCTTTGTCAGTCCAATACCTGGAGTTCCTTCCATTCCTTTTTAGACTGTGCCTACACATCTTCAAGGACATAATTTGATGCTTTGATCTCTCAGATACTACCATTGCAAGGTTCATGGGAAGGAGTTGGTACTTGTTCACTCTGTAGTAAAGTGACTAACTATACTGCACCTTGCCTTCATTCCAGAAGAGACTTACTGACCTTGTCAGTCATAAAATATGTCAAAAAGTATTGGGAGAGATGATAGATGATGATATTATTGTTGTTGTTGTTACTGTTACTATTATTATTGTTATTATTTACCCTTGGCTTGTCTGAAATTTCGGGAATGCATTCGGAAGAATTAACCTCAAATACAACAGTCAGCAGGCTTTTCCTAATCTGTTGGGCAGTTTCTCTGATACTTTCATCATAATTTTAGCAAAATACTCGCAGGAAATAAAAAAATCTATTGTTAGGAAAATAAATTTGCAACTCATTATGGAGTGTAACTTGTTAGCTTATGTACAGACCTTATGATTTTGTGCCTTTTCTGACTTTTTTTCCTCCTTGTAAGACTTTTGTTATAATGTCTTCTTTGTGCCAGCTTTGAGTAGTTTCTCACAAACAGATTTAATGAAATCTTCTTGTGAGTAGGTCTCACTGAGCATCTTGCAGAAGTTCTGCTAGAATTATAAATTTTACTAGTTCAAACTTGAAGTAAAAGCACCCTGCCAGTGCTGTCATTTTGAAACCACTGAGCAGTGTGGAGCTAAAATTATTTCTTGGTGTGTAATAGTCACTGTGCTTATGAATAAAGGGTCGCCTTCATGAGCAGAAGATGAAAGAAGCTAACCATGCTGCTGCTGTGCAAATCTTTGAGAGAGTAAATACTTCCTTGCTGCCTATGAATGTGTTGGATTTGCATGGTCTCCATGTGGATGAGGCGGTCAATCAATTGTCCAGAGTACTCCAGGAGAAAAGGGAAGGTAGGGTTTAGGTAATAATTCTTACCCCTAAAAATTATTCTCATGATGAGAAGAAATGATGCATGGCAATATTAGAGGGAATGAATGTGCTTTAATAACATGTGTTTTAAAAACAAATAGGCTTTGTGTTGTCTTGTTTTCAAAGTACCCCAGTGGAATTGTTTTTCAGTGATTTTTGTTGTTCCTGTCTCGCCCCCTCCCCCTGCTTCTTGGTAAATGCTTCTTGTTTTATCCCTTTTTGTTACTATTATTGAATACTTGGTCTGTCCTTCATGACATTTTTTACTGAGATGATGATGCAACCATATGTGTTCCCATTGCATTGCTTTGTCACAACTATGTTGCTTTTATAATCTTAAAAGAAAAATTACTGTGTTGGAATTGTAACAACAGTGATGATATGGTCTTCAACTTCTACATGAAAGTGTGAGATCTGAGCTACCTTTCAGAAACTTTTGTATCAGTTTGTTGGCAGCATCAATTGAGATCAGAACGCTGCTGCTTCCAGAAATGTCATTTTATGCAGTTTTGCTTGAGAGCTCATTTTTTCTCATAGTGGAGAGTTGAGGTACTTCATGAGTGTCCATGCTGTAAAAAGATCAATTTTCTGCATTACCAGTTTACCCTCTAAATTTAAGCACACTGGGAATGCTTCTGTAACAAATATTTCTTACACAAGGCACTGCCACACAAACAGGATTTTTTGAAGGAGCTACTCTACAGAGTATAAATAAAAGTGTTCGGTGAGGCTTTAGATAACCCTTGTCTTTCAGTATGCACCAGAGATAATTAAGTTCCATTATCTGGTCAATTCCTGCAATGACATTTGTGCAATTTAAACTGTAACCTAGTGCTTTTTAGAACTAAATTTCCAGAACTGTACTTAAATCAGCAATGCTGAAATCGATAGTAGGAGCTCTCTGTTCAGTCTATTTACCTAAGGCTGAAAAAAAAGTAGTTAATTTCACTGTATGTACATGGGAAAAGGATCAATACTGGGAACTTTCTTTTGCTGCCAGAATTAACAGTAAATAAATATAAAACCTAAATAAAGTTACTATGTGGGGGAGAGTAGTTGAAAAAGCACGTATTGTGAACTAATAATTCCAGACTGGCAAATCTAGTTGTGAGAATCCAGTTTAATTTTTTTTTCTCTTTTTCAAACTCTTCATCAATTTAGGTTGCTGTTATCTCTGGGAAGAGAGCAATTTCTTTTGTTATCATGGCTAAGGGCCCTAATAAAACTCATGGAATGTGTTGATCTGTTGAATTCCATGCTCCAGCATAGCAGAAGATAGTCCAAATAATGTGGCATAAGTGTCAAAAGCTGGATTTATATTTTCTTTCTTCTTAATTTCTTTATTCAATAAAATGTTATTTCTTTATTCACATCAATTTACGATAAAACATGAAACAATACAGAAGCACCACTTAAAAATTCAGTGAATGCCACTCACCTCTTTTAATTTTGTAATTTAAATTTATATCACAGAATGTAAATTCCAGTTGAATATTAGATGACAGTAAAGCTTCTATGAAATTGGAGGGATTTTGTGATTATTACAATATGCATTTTGCAAGCAGTCTAGATTTCAAATTTGACTTTTTTAAAATGGGGGAAAATTGCTATTTGTATCTAAAATATGCATATCATCATGGGAAAACAAAGCTCCAAATGAGTAGTGAGAGTTTCCAGAGGAATGCATGGAAGGCTTGTACTGCATGCCAAGTCCCTGCTGAGGAGAACTTGAAGTGTTGCAATTCCTGCTGTTGCAGAGTACCAGCAGAGTGGTGGCAAACCATATCTCAGTGTTATCACGGGAAGAGGAAGCCATAGCCAGGGAGGAGTTGCTCGCATCAGACCAGCAGCTATCCGATACCTCACAAGCCACAACTTCAGGTGAGTTTAGATTTTTGTTACTGATAATTTTTTTTTCTCGAACCACATTTAAATAACTGAAAATTGAAGTTTAGTTTTAGAATGCTGTTAAACTACTGCGCAGATCAGGGCAGGTCTGCTGTTTCAGATTAAATTAACTCAGTTGTTTCACAAATCTGATGCAGTTGTGTAGTAGCTGTTAAATGTTAATTTCTTTCCTCTGAGATAGTTTAATTCCATATTTCCATTCAAGATTGCTAGTTTTACTGTGAAAAATTGTTAATCCTGCTTTTTATTTGTTGCAATACTTGCATTTGTGTTCAGTTTATGAGGGATAGCAATTTAGTAAGTCTGGGCTCACACCAATGTGTTGGCTAATTTTTATATAGAGCCGTGTAGGAAGGTGAGACTCAAAACCAGCAATGACTTCCCATTTCTTTCTTGGCTTCTACAAAATAGAAGGATGAAAATCCATTTCAAAATAAGAGGGAATGAAAGGGGAACAGGAATAGAAGAGCAGAATTAATATAACCAAGAATATTCAGCAGCTTTTTCTTTGCTCGGATCTTCATCTTAGTTTCTGCTTTTTCCACGTCTTCATATCTCCAGACACTGAAAAATCCTTCTTCAGTGTCACATCTGCTGATCACATAATGCTGATTTCCTGACTCTTACATGCACATACACTTGACTGAGGACCTTAGCACTTTCCATATGTTTGATGAGAATTGAAGGTGATGCATTGCATATAGTTTACATGTTGAAGCTTCTTTTTCTCTTGTTTCATAGGTTCACAGAAATAAAACCAGGCTGCCTGAAAGTCATGCTGAATTGAGGAGTTGTGGAAAGAGGAATATAGAAACTGAGGTGTCAGATGACTGCCGGGTAACGCCCCATGTTTTCAACAACTGCACTGGTATTTTTCAGTCCGTTTTAAAGGATGATATTTTATTAAACTGGTCTCAATTTACAGCAAGTGGATTTGTCAGTATGTTTCCAATAAATTTTTTCTGTGGAGTAGAACTTTTTTTGAACCTGCAAAAGGAAGATACTTAAAAGGATTTGAAGTCTCAGAAATGCAGATTTAAGAATTTTGCTGAGAAATATATGATGTTTTTAACAGAAGTTAAGGTACAATTTTTAATATAACTATCTTCTTAGCATACCTGACCTGCCTTTTGACTTGCACGTCTTGATTGCTGTGGCTTCTGTACTTCTAAAACATATTATCTTATACAAAGTTATTTTGTAATTCAGAACTTTGTGCTAAACCCTTCAGAATAGCAAAGGAGAGGCGGAAACTGAGCAACTACTGGTATTTCAAATCCAGTTACATCTGAGTGCTGAGTATTTCCAGGTTTCTTTAAAAATCTTGTGTCTTTTTAGTGGTTATGTTGAGTTGACCAGTTCTGTTATCGTGATTTCCCTCAAAACTTCTCCAAATCCTGAAGAGGTTGCATATAAGGCCTGTTCATTAAGGCCAGCTGTGTGTTTAGTAATTTGGCAGATTTAGTGTGATCTCTTAAAGGAAAACCACAATGCTGTTATTCAGTCTCTTTTGGAGATCCACCTACTGGATTAAAATTGTTTCTTTCTTTGTAGCTTTTTAAATTCAGCAAATGCAGTATTGTTTTACTTTACAAGTGTCTGATAATGATGTCTTCATTCTCTGTGTATTGTTTGGTGATTTCCTTTTAGAAAATATGATAATGAGACATTTAAAATATATTTTTAACATCAAAGTGAATACTAATATTGCAGAAGTAATTGCCTAACTGGAAAATCTGGGAGTACAAAAATTACTCTGATTTTGATGGCATTGCATCAGCATCTAGAAATACCTGTGTAAAAACCAAACAACATAAAAAGATCCCAAACAAAACCCTTCAGAAATGAAATATAAACGTCTCTACTTATGCAAGTGTTTCCAGTACACAATCAGAACACTTTTTAAATAGAAATATCTTGTAGAATACATCACTATTTTTATTTGTCTTTGCCTCCTGAAGGGCATATGAATTTTTGTTGTACGGCTGTTCCAGAACAGATGTGAGTTGTGTATTAGGAATAATATTAATAGATTAAGGATTAATGTGAGGAATTTTTAAATTTTTAACCACTTTGAAGTAAATTTTATGGAGGAACTACCTGCACATAGAGTTTGTATATGAATCCATATGTGTCTGCAAATTCTTCAATTTGCATACATGAGGACTAATAAACAAAGGACTTCTGTGAGAAAAGCTGTCCACAGAAATAGGTTTCACTTGAAAACGTGTCTGTGTAAGTTGCTGACAGGCTGAAAGACATGATGTTTCCTGAATATGTCTGTATTTACTCTAATATATACACAGTGACTATGATGCATGGTAGACTTAAAAATGAGTTTGTCGTGCTTCAACAGATTCAGTTATCTTTTCCTGGTGATTTCAAGTGGAAGAATAGCTTGAGTAATACTTAATCAAAGAGATTCTTTCTATAATAGACTGCCATAATAAGTTTTGTATTTTTTGTGGGTACTTAATTCATCTGAATTATGTCCTTTCTCTGTTTCCTTCTCTCTGCCTTGCTCTGGGAATCAGTGAGTGAAATACAAAAGATCTGTGGTCCCCTTACAGCACTAACAGAGCTTTTTCTGCCACTGCATGATGTCCTGTGTGAAGTCCACACTCCATCCTCTGTGACAGTGCCTAAAATGGATTGAGATGCTGTTTAGGCACTTGGCCTCAAGACAACAGTTCAGACTATCAGCTGTACAGAGTTGCAAATGCTAGAATTATCTCAGCAGAGCCAGAATCTTTGTTTTGGACCAAGGGACTTCCTTCTGTTCCTGAACAGGTTTTCCTTAGTGCTGCTGTTTATACCAAGTGGAGTTGCAGCTCTCTGGGACAGCTCTTTGCAGTACAGTCCCTGTTGGTTGGCCTGGGTGGCTGCTGTGTGTTGAGCTGCTTGGGTGCCCGAGCCCTACAGAGATGTGCCTGTAAACAAGGGAGTGCCAACACTTCTGGTTGTTTTGGGAGGCAGCCTGATTCACTCAGCGTATTCACACCATTCCTGACATGGACAAAGACAGCTTAGATTTTAGTTCAAAAGACAAGCAGAAAAAGTTTTCGTCTTGCCCATCTGTTCATCATAATCTAGTTGACAACTTTACCCTGGAGATGAGAAACACAGCTTTTTGCCTTCTTCTGGCTTAGCAAGTGGATGATAATGATTGCAGTTGACTCTCACTTCCCCAGAACATGCTCTGACCAACATGCTCAGGAATATTTTTGAAATTGCCACTTCCTGAGCCTCTTTCAAAATTACCACTGCACGCAAAAAGTGCAAGCTTAAGGGGACAAAGGAGATTAAAGAATTAAAAGTGCATAAACAGTCTCTGGGAGTGGGCTAAGACTTACAAGAAAGGTACTGTTCCTGGTGAGCTTCAGTGTCCTTTCAGACTGTTTTTTCATCCTTTAGTCCTATTTGGATAAATACATTAAAAATGTTCAGGGTAAAATCAACTCTACCTAGTGCAAGGAGAATTTTTCTTCAGTCTGTCAAAATCAGCAGAGAAATACACAGCTCAAGAGCAGTTTTGAATACTCTTCTCTTTTCCTCTCTTCACTGGCTTTCATTGGGGTGCAGGTTGAGGTTCATGAACATTCTCTGAATGCCCTGCCTGGGGTGAATTGGTCATTCACCTACATGTGTTGTTTGACTACCAGCTGAACTTTGATGGAGATGATGGCTTAAAATCATAACACTGACAGAACCAATCTTGTCTCTGTCAGCTTCAGCTTCTCAAAACGAGGCATTGCAGTTCTGACTCAGAGAAAATGTAATGATCCTCTGAGGGATCTCAAGCACTTGCTTAAAAGCTGTGCTGAGCTGGATACAGAATAGGTCTGAAGATGAGTGCACGGAGTAAAAGTAAGGAGAGTTTTATCAGCAAGGATCTCCATGCCTTCAGCTACTTGCCAGTATTCCAGAAAAACAACACTGAAGTTCTTGTATTTCTCTGAATGATTTTATGATGTATTCTGGGATGAATTCTTTGAAATATAATTATTTCAAAATGGTATTTCAAAGTAGGTTATATTTTAGAAGTTCCAACCATTCTGATATCTCTTGCAGTGAGAATCCATGAGAAACCAGAGGTATCGTGTAAATTCTGTATCATCTTACAATTAAAATAGCAGTATTGCCACCAGCACTCTGAAATAATGTACAACTGTTTGTGTAGCACTTTCTATTCTTCAACAGCATGTGATGGTGATGAATGATAGCCTTTAATATGTGACTTTTTGTGTCTTCTTTTACAAAACATTTTAATAGTTATGCCAAGTTTTAATTTAGGAAAATTACCATTTTTTAATATACAAAATTAATACTTGTGCTAACATTAGATGAGTGATCCTAAAGTGGAAAAAAAAAAGTCCAGAGGTGCAATGAAGAAAGTTGTCTGAAGTAATGTGACTGTTGAAAACCATTTCAGTTGATTGTGAAAGTAGTAGGGCAAAAATATTTCAGGATACCTTGACAATACTTAATGACTTTGGCTTTTGCTTTTAATATCATGTGGTACATCCCCCCTCAAAACCCAACCAAAGCCCAACTATTCATGCTATTTCAGCTAAATAAACTTTGCAGAGGATTAAATGAGTAGATGTGAATACACATGTGAAAACACCTAGTATTGCAGCTACCAATTGTAAAAGCTGTTAGGACCAGTACATTGGAAGATACAAATTTCTATTTTTAAATTAAAACAAAAAATGATTTTTTTATTTGTATAAAGTTGTACTTTTGCTGTTAACTATAATTTTGTTTTTTACTGAAATAGTTTTGTAATTTGCATTTAAAATTTCTAATATGAAATGGAATTTACAGAATATAGTTTAATAAAGGATTTTTGTCACAAGTATAGCCTTCTGTCTTTCCTTGGAAAACTGTGCTGCAGCTTGTATCAAATTTTTTCAAAAAGTAGTCTTGGAGTTCTGCATGAAAGCCACTTGCTTGGCTTCAGGATACCATCTGTAGGGAGATGAAGCAACCATCTGCAGGCATAAAAAGGAACAGATTTGTGGCCTGGATTTCAGTGCTGTGAGTGCGGGCTGAATGCTCAAATTACTGAGAACGAGGGTCATGGTTTCAGATTTTTTTTTGACCTGAAGTAGCTGAAGAGCTGCTATTCCAGGCTGGCTTACTCATGGGAGAGTGAGAGCAGCAGTGCACACCAAGGGGAGGAGTGGTCTGACCACTGCAGCAATGGGGCTTTGGGGGAGGGAAGTGTTCTGCAGAGACCTCATTTAGCAGGAGCCCGTGGATCAGAGGCAGTGAGAGTGGATCCTGAGGGAGCCCAGCGCTGTGCTCTGTGGAGACAGAGCTAGCAAGCCTGGCTTTTCCCAAGCCTGCCCCGTTCTGGTCAGGTGCAGGTATTGTCCTGTGTATTGTCCTGGAAGTGTGGCATGACACCAAAGTGCTGACTGGAGTCTAACCTGTTTTATTAGCTCAGTTTGAGGAAACTTGCTGTGACCCCAGATGACTCCTGCAGAATCATTCCTATGGCTTTATTGCCTTGCAGCTTGGTTGACTGCAGAAACAAGTCAGGCTTGTGCATTTCCACAGCAAAGCACTAACTCAACTCATAAGCTGTTCAAGAGAGCAGGGAAAACAGGTTTTGGGAAGATGTGGAAGCTTGGCAGATGCTGGTTTAAATGTGACGTGGCTGATCCAGAGCCACGGTTCTTAGACCACAGCATTGGTAAATGTCTCACTGGTTGTGTGCTCTTTACTTACAGGACTCCCTGCTCTGGCAGTGTGGCTGAAGGTCCTGCTTGGGCATTAGTCTCTCAAACTGATGTTTTAAAGTAGAGGTACTGCTGCTGGACT